GCCAAAACATCAGCTCCAAGTTCAGCTACCCCCACTGCGTGAACAACATAGACTCCTGCCACCAGTACATACAAAACTTCAAACTATTCATTCACGATTATTTTGTGGACAAATTTTTAAAAGATAAAAAAAAAAAAAAAGAAAAAGAAAAGCAAAATTATCTCCTCATGTTTACCAACTCGTTTGCCAATTACGACAACCTACTTAGCGACTTTGAAAATCTGAGTATTGAGAATTGTAAAAATCTTTTGAACATGTTGAAGGTGCACTTTGTTGGGCAGCTGGTCATCATCGAGAGCGTGAACTTCGATATAACGAGTGAGCAGTACGCCTACTACCAGCTCAACGACCCCTACATTAACGCCTTGGTCAGCCGGATGAAGCTGATCGCTTACCACATCTCGCTGTACTTCAACCAGAACATCTTTCAAATATGTGTGGGCTTGCTGGCTGAGAAGGTGCGTCAACACGTCCGTGCATGCGTGCGTCAGCACATCGGTGCATACATTTGCGCGGCATTTTCGTGTACACCCCCTGCGACGTTGCCAAGTCGGCCACTGCCCCCCCGACACACATATATTCATTCATGCGCGATGTAATTTCCCCCCCCTTACAGATCTGCAAATATATCGAGCGGATCGTGCGCACGAAGAAATTTAGCCTGTACGGTTGCGTCCAATTAGACAACGACATCAGGAACCTCATGCTGTTCTTCACATCCCTCACCAGCATCAACGTGAAGAAGGAGTTTACCAAGTTGCTGGAAATGTGCGAACTACTAAACATAAACGATTTGCAAGACTTTAAGGATTTCTACGACGAAAATAAAAACAATTTGAGTGCCAGTGAGGTGGAGGACATCATTTCAATGCGCATTGACATTTCGGAGGAGCTCCTGGGGGCGATGAAGCTGTACATGAATTGGGGCGCGACGTAAGATGTATGTGTAGCCCCCCCATCGGAGAATGGCACAAGCAGAGGATGGCAGCAATGGAGGGAAAAAGCGCATCAGTTGTATATGAGTATAAAAAAAAAGGTCACCAGTGAGGAGCTACGTGGAGGGGGGGATAACCGTGGGACAGCGACTCCTACGAAGGAACAGAAGACGGACGGAATCCTCCCCGTGCGCCCCACCTATCTGACGAAATTACACTCAAAAAAAAAAAATAATAAATAGCCAAATAGACTTCTCTGTGCGAGTTTTTTTTTTTTTTTTTTTTGTGTGCATTATTTTTAAAAAAGTTAGCACTACTGTGTCCCAGTGGGGAAGAAAAAAAAAATAAAAAAAAATAAAAACGACTGGTAGCATGACAACAAATGATAAAAAACCCTAGGGGAACGCATCCCTGTGGGGGAAGCATAGAGCGGCCCTCCTACCAAGGGCATCTACTTTTGTACTTCTTTCTGTAGCCATAATTTCTCCTGTGTATTATTTCCATTTTGATTGCCATTCCTTCGATTTCTGACCCTGCAAGGGAGAAATGAGGAAAAAAAAAAAAAACAAAAAAAAAAATTACAACAGTTATGCGCATTGCGAAAAGGATGTGTGTGTATTTTTCCCCCTTTTTTAAAGGAAGTTTCCTCCTCTTCCATCCCCCAGCTAACCGTCGTATTTGTCTATGGCCTGCTGCGCGTCGTTGATGTTTTCGAAAACGCACACGCCTGTGCCCTGAGTGAAGGAAAAAAAGAGGCATGTGGGTCAGCGATGTCTTATTGGAAACACACATGTTCACAAAAGGGGAGAAGAGCATATGCGAAGGGGGAGGGAGGAGGCAGCCCCCGTTGTTGGCCCCTCTTCCATTTTCATCAATGCAAATTACATCCGATCTATCCGTGTGGTCGTAGTTTATCCAGGCATTCACAACTGTGCACACGTTGCTAAACAGTTCCTGCAAGAGGGGGGGTTAGAGCAGAGTGTCAAGGAGGGGACATAAATGGCCATGTGACGCAAGCACATCGGCGTGTACGGCAACAATGCGATCACAGATATGCATGCACATGCATCCCCAGATTGGCGCGGGAACTACGGTCATCCCTATGGCCAACGCCAATGAGAAGACGTCAGGGCTGATGGTGTACCACTAAGTCGTTCTTCGAGATGGTGTAGTCCAGGTTTGAGATTTTCACGCGCACATGGCTGTCCCGCTCGTCGTGGTTCTTCCAGGGGAAAAGGAAAAAAAAAAAAAAAAGCACAAATAATGGAGGACAGTGGTGAGAGTGATGAGCGTCATGTGCGCGATGAGCGCGTGTCGAATGTCGCTGGTGAAGTGGTCCGCCTTGTCATTTTTCCTTTCCAGCGTCACTTATAGGTGCACGCATGCACGTGAGCGTATCTGTACCTGGTAGGCATTCCTGTTGTTATACTTGTTTATTCTGTTGTGGTGAGGGTTCGTCTTGTATTCGTCGTTCTACGGGAGGGGAAATGCGCGGAGCAGTGTTGATCTCGCTCATATCGTTAATCTCGTTAACCCGTTGGTTGCATTCGCCACACGGGGTGTAGACAGGAAGATGCCTCCCTAAATTGGGGCTGCGGGCCCGTGGCCCCGTCTCTAACTCCCCTCTAAGTGAGTCATTACTCGAGAGTTGTTATAACTGCCGTATTTCCTATGGTAGTGTTTTCGGTGATGATAACCGTCTAATGGGGGGGGTGAAAAAAAAAAAAAAAAGGAGGAATGCTATTTGCTGTGCGCAGATGGTAGGAGCTATCGCTTCGTTGGAGGGTGTTTATTGACCGGCGGGGCCTTGTCTGCATCATGCGTTTCATCCGCTCCACCGATGATCTCTCTAGTCCATTTCTCTCTCATCCTCGTGAAAGGTACCATTATTGTATTTCCTAAATTCCCTCATTGTGTCAATTCACAATGTTATTCCTTGGTCACACAAAAAAAAAAAAAAAAAAAAAAAAGAAAACAGGAAAATTATGTCTCCATAAAATTATGCGCATTCATACGGGTAACAAAAACTGATGGGCATTGTTTAACTTTTTTCTCACGTGTGGCATCATTGTTTACATTTGCTACTAAGAGTGTTCGCAATTATTTTGTGTTGAAGTGATTACGATGTTGATATGGGTTAGAGGGTAAGGCGACGCACTTCGTCCTCCATGGGCATGTTATATTTTAAGCTATATGTATGTGGGAGACTCCAATTAGGGCAACTCCTAATTGCATGCGGCCAACGTGATACTTGTACGCAGTTTTATGAATGCTTGTAATAATTGAAGAAGGCGACCCCAGGCGGGGGTGCTGTATGCTCAAGTGCGCTACGCGCTTAGGTAACCACATAAGGACCATGATTCATCCATCAGTATACATCTCTGCAAACGAGGAAATAAGAAAAAAAAAAAAAAAAAAAAAAAAACAAAACCTACACTAGAGTACCACGTGACAGGTGATGAAATTTTGCATGATGCATAATTTTTTGAGCGAACTTTCTCACATAAACGAATCGACAAACGAAAGGTAGAAAGTGCCGCCACGCATTAATGTCAACAGGGGATGTCATCCAGGCGGTAAACCCCACGCATGTTGAAGAGCTATGAACCTCCAACCCAATTGCGCGTAGCTAGCGAATCGGGGTTTATCCCTTTTTGCGCCTATTTAGACCCCGCTGTTATTTGACACCCTGGTTGCAACCGTTGATCGGTTAACGCGCAAAGGGGAAGCTGGAGAATCCCACCAAGTGGCACAGCAGTCGCGGTGTGGCAGTTGCGGTGTGGCAGTTGCGGTGTGGCAGTTGCGGTGTAGCAGTGGCCGTGTAGCAGTAGCCGCGTAGCAGTCACCACGAATGAATAACTGCCGCAACCATGAAGAAAAAAAAAGTCGTCAAGCTGAAGGAGGAATACGTGCCTAAAGGGAACTACTGTAAAATTACATAAGCATATATTAAACACGAAAAAGTGATGTGGTGGAATTTTTTTGGGGGGATGCCAAAAGAGACGGGGAGAAAATTCCTATCGGTTCAAGTCCAAAGCATCACACCCCCGTTTTCGTGTGAGAATGTGATTAAAATGTGTTCAACCGCCACAGAGTGATGCTTGTACCCCTCCCATTCACAGCGATTGTTATACTTTTGTACGTACACGCACACGTACTTGTGCATGTAGACACATACATATTTACCCATGTGAATTTCCTCCTGCCCTCCACAGTTAGCAAAGATGCCCTGCTGACCAACATCTTCATGCAGAGCGCGGAGAACGTGCTGTCTGAAGTCGAGTCGAAGAATTCCCAACTGATAGTTAACTGCATAAACAAGTTGCATAAAAAAAATCTGCAAACGAAATTGAAGGCTATAAATGTAAGGAGAACCATTTTGGCTGTTTTTTTTTTTTTTTTTTTTTTTTTTTTTTTTTTTTTTTTTTTTTTTTTT